GTGTAGGGGGCGGGTTTCTAGGATATACCCTTTGGCTGGTTGATGATGCATGGAGGGGATTGGAACCATGGCAATGAGATGATATACGATGGAATGAATGTAAAACTAAAGTTCTCTCATTAAACTAGCATATAATTCAAAATAAAACATTAAAAAAAAAAGAAAGAATGCTAAGATTCCACCTTAAGTCTGTGAAAATCATAATTTGAAGGAAGCTTGGGAACTGGGAGCAACCCTTATATCTGTAACCCTTTCTCAGCACTGACACTGCTTCATTAATTCATATAGAGAACCTAAGAAATGACATTAAAAATCTATTTTGTCTTCAGACTGCTGCAAATTTTGGTTAGCAGATATACTGAGGCTCTAAATATGTCTATTTATTCTATGAAAGTAAAGCCATGAAATGACAATTAATCAAGTACAGTTTCCCCAAATAATGGATTAAAGGTTAAGAAGATATTTGAAGTGATACATTCTTGAAGGCAGTTCAATTGTACCCAAATTTATACTGCAGGCCAACAACCACCTGCCGCTCCTTGTAAACTCTATACAGGGTTGCTATGGGTCAGAACAGACTTGACAGCACATAACAACTACGAGTCGTAAAAGGATGAGCTTAGGTAAAACTTAATTAAGAATACTGATAACTAAAGTTATTTGCAGCATTTATCTTTTTACTGGGCACCATGGTTAGGAATCCCAGAATCAGGAGGAAATGAAAACGTGACTTTTTCTGATTGAGGCTTCATGATACAGCAGAAAATAAAACCCAATGTATTCCATTTCAAACTCTGTATTCAATTCATAAATGGTCTTGCAATTCAGGGGAACAAAAAGCTACTTTTGGCCAACCCAAGCACAGCTTTGTTACATTAAAAACAAACTCATGTATAAAACAAGTATCTGTTCAAAGTATATTTTTATGAAGACACTGTAAGAAATAAATAATGCAAAAGCTGTAAGGTTAATAATGTATTGTGTGCAACATTTTTACTAGGTACAGCTGTTTACAGGCATCTTTTGCTGTAGTGTTTATACCAGAGGTACCCAACTTACATATCCTAATTCATATTTTAAGAGGGTCCTTAAAATGCTCCAATTTCCCTGACCAGCACTCCAAAACATCCAAATGCACCCACAGCCTCATCTTTTTTTAAAAAAAAGTATAATGACTAGATATTCTGGACTTTTAGAAAAGGTTTTTTGAAGATTTTTCGTCTAAAGAGTATAGAAGATCAGACAAATATCCTCCATAAAGATACAGATTGCTTCAACTGTCTTCAACCTATAACTGATTGTTGTTGTTGTTGTCAGGTGCCATCGAGTCGGAACCGACTCATAGCGACCCCATGCACAGCAGAACAAAACAATGTCCGATCCTGGGCCAACCTCACTACCACCACCACACTTGATGCCATCAATGATGCCACCTGGCTGATCCATCCCATTGGGGGTCTTCCTCTTTTTCTCTGACCCTCCATCTTACCCAGCATGACATCCATCTCCAGCGACTGTTCCCTCCTGACAATATGTCCAAAGTATGAGAGACGAAACTTAGCCATCATGGCCTCCAAGGAACACTCTGGCTGCACTTCTTCCAACACAGATCTATTGGTTCTTTGGTTCTTTTCTCCTCCAACACCACAATTCAAAGGCATCTAGTCTTCTACGATCTTCCTTATTCACTGTCCAGCTTTCGCATCCATATGAGGTTATTGAAAATACCATGGCTTGGGTCAGGCACACCTTAGTCCTCAAGCTGACATCTTTGTTCTTCAACATTTTAAAAAGTTCCTGTGCAGCAGATTTGCCCAGTGCAATATGTCGTCTGATCTCTTGACTGCTGCTTCCGCGAGTGTTGATAGTTGATCCAAGAAGAATGAAGTCCTTGACAACTTCAATCTTTTCTCCATTGATAAGAATGTTGTTTACTGGTCCATTGGTGAGGACTTTTGTTTTCCTGACATTGAGATGCAACCCATACCGAAGGCTGTACTCTTTGATCTTCATAAGTAAATGTTTCAAGTCCTCTTCACTTTCAGCAAGCAAGGTTGTATCATCTGCATATTGCAGACTGATTCGAATACCTAAAAGAGTTTCTAGAACTTGCCCAGTGAAATAGGTTTCCTGCGGAACCTTTGTAGTGCATATGTTCTTAAGTGGAATCTTTAGCCCCATCAAGAACCTTCTGAGGTGGGATATTCCCACTTGAAAGGTCATGCAGACCAGCTAGATGGAGCCAGAGGAACAAAAGATACATCCCAAGAGACAGACCAGCAGGAAAAACCAAAACGGCAGTCTGTTTGGCTATTATAAGAACAAGCAAGCTGTTCGCTGGTGAGCCATCAAGGCAATGAATCAAGTCTCTTCAGGACAAACCCCCCTCCCAAGACTAAAACTCATAAGGAACACACAAGCAGGCATGTAAGCTAGCTAGCAACCGCATTGGTCTACATGTGAGTGGAAGCGGGGGAAAGTCAGTAATGAAGATATGGGCTGAGCTCGACCATGTTCCATAAACTCCTGTCGACCTTAAGATGAGAGAGAGAAGAAGGGCTGGTTGGTCCAAAGTTTTGGGAAACTTGGGAACTCCTGAGACCAAAGACAATGACCTAGCCTCAGGGGGCTAGAGCTGAGAGTAAAGTATCCAGCTGATATGAAGTGG